GAGGCTGCCTCAGAGCAGCCTCTCTGCGAGGGGTCTGAGCTCCCTGCAGATCGGGGTGCTGCAGCAGCCTTTGTCTATGGAGAGCTCAGACCCCCTTTAGGGGCTCCTGCTGCCCCACCCTGCTTCCACTGTATTAGGAGGCAGCAGCGCAGAGTGGCAGGGGGCTCCTCAGGAGTGGAGCCAAGACCGCACTGGCTGGCTGGCTCTTCCTCTGGGGACTATTTAATAGTCATGTAACAGTAAATATAGCAAACAGCTTGGGAATTTATTTGTTAAATCATATTTATGTTAAGAGGCATAGTGGGAGTCTTGAAAAATGATGCACTACAAAGTTGATCCACATCGTTCTTAAGACACATCCACATCTTCATTCACAACATTTTCTCTCAATAAGCTGTTTTCCTTATGTTTCATTCTTGCAGGTAGGTCCTGCATCTTCTTGCACTGCTTACGCTTGACACTTTTTTCCTTTTTTTTTAAATCCAGGGAACTAGTTTCTTCAAAATATTTCCAGATAGGTGTTTTTTTAACACGTAGAAGTCATGACAGGTTTTTCTGTGGTAAAAGTGTAAGAAAATATAGGACGCGGTGTGTGCACACACTGGATGTCTTCCCTTTTTCCTTTCCTTTCCTGTCCACTCCAGTGTTCATTTTTGTGCTGCCTCTCTTTTCCAATATATTGTGTCTCTTTTTTGAGACAATGTCTTAACTAACTTGGCCATGGTTGGCCCAGAGCCACCACCACATAAGCACAAAACAAAAATAACCACCTATCCACTTGTCAGTCTGCTGAGAAACAGAAATGAAAAACCCAGAACTTTCAGAGCAAGAACTGATTACTAGGCTGCACTGACTAAAACCATTAATTTATTTTTATGACACTGTAGGTGTAGCATATTTGTGATAAGATTTCATTGCAGCTGTTGTTGTTTTTAAATGAAAATTTAGTATTTTTATAAAAAATGTTAAAAAAATATTTAAAAAAAACCAACCTTGATTTTTATCGTCCCTATTCAGTGCAGGCAGTACATTGCTTATATCCCGCAATGCCCATTGTGATTGCTATGGTCATTGGTTTGGTCTCTGCTGCCCTGCAGCCAAGTACACAAGTGTGCTTCTCTTTCCTTTTTGATCACTGGGAAGCTTTGAAATTGTTGTTCCTGTTTGCTTAGATTGGAGAGCTCACATTGCATCTGACTAGCTCAACATACCGGCTCACTCTAGCAAATGAACTCCTCCCTGGAATACACTGGACATGACGCATCTGATGGGCCTGTGGGGAGAGGCTGCAGTCACGGATCTGCTTCAGCTGCAGGAACTTTGATGTCAATGGGCAGACTTCTTGAAGCACGGAGAAGAGTGGATATGTTAGGAACACAGAGAAGTGCTGTTCAAAATCAAGGAATTGAGAGAAACCAAGAAAGGCCAATAGTCACGCAGGGGTGGTGTTACATACACAACACTTCTAGAAGGAGCAGCATACCATCCTCAGCAGCAACCCCACCTCAATAACTAAGATCCCTGTGGATACTTATGGGGAGCTGGTGTTGGTGGCCAGTGGCGTGAACCCTGACGACAACATAGTGGACAAGGAAGGGGAGATGGAGGAGGATGTGGGATATTTGGCGGTGTGGCAAGCCAAGGCATCTTTATTTAATTCCAGAGCAGCCTAGCCAGTCCCAGTAATCAGGCTCTGGTGTGCCTAAGTCAGGAGAAGGAAGCGCCACTCAGTACTCATTCAGCTTTAATTCTTTGGGGGCATGTGCTAATGTTCTTGTTTCTTAACCGGTGTAGAAGAGGGATTGAAGTAACCTACAGAGGTACAGTTTGTATTAGGGATGTAAAATCCCGTGTTCATTGGTTAATTAGTTAAACATAGTGTTTAACTTGTTCACTGATTAAAGGAGAAGCAGGCTGGCTAGAGTGCACAGTTCTTCCCCCTCTCCCTCCGCCCCCCCCCGGCTGCTGCCGCCACAGCAGGGCTGGCACCCCAAGGAGGGAGCAGTCCTTACAAACTAGGGATGTGACGGGTTAACCAGTATCTGGTTCTCATTCCTTTGTGCAGCTAGGCAGAAGGGGCTCGGTGGAAAAATTTGTGTATGCACACTGGAATGTCCCAGGAATCCTCCATAGAGATCTCTAAGAAACTTTCATTGAGGTAGCTGGCAATCCTCTGCCAAAGGTTTCTTGGGAAGGTTGCCTTGTTACTTCCTCTGCAGTAGGAAACTTTGCCATGATAATTAGCAATTACGTCTGTAGACACTATAGCAGCACATAGGGAGGCAGCATGCAGATCCAGGCTGCAGCTGTGTACGTGAAGGTGCTGTACCCTTGCATCCCCTGTTACTTTCAGGAGCGAGATGTTGTCTGGCTATCACCTCTGCCTATGAGACAGAGTACTATTCTTTAGAGCAGAGCCATTCTCTGCATACGACATTTGGGGTGGCTATCCCGGGTCCCACACTTGGAGTGGAGGGGGACTCATGTTAGCCACCTCAACTGTCCTATGGATGGGCTTAGCATGGGACAGCAGTAGGGGTCACCCACCTGCACTGATCGCAGTGGCAGGAGCCAGAATGACCAGGCAGCCTGCTTTGCCTTGCCTCCCTCTCCCAGCCCACTATGCTTGGCTTCTCCGGGGCTGCAGGAAGCAGAGTTCCCTTCTCCCAGGCATTCTGCTTCCAGTTGCTGCAGAAAAGTAAAGCACAGTGGACTGGGAGGGCTGCACAGTGGAACAGAGTAGGCTGCTGGGCTGCTCCGGCTCCTGCCGCTGTGGTGAGTGTGGGGAGGCGGGGAGATGCGGGGCAACCCCTGCTGCCACCCAATCCCTGGTAATCGCCTGGCTTGTGTTGTGTAGTGAGGGGGTTGCCTCAGGCCACGTGCCTAGGGCACTGGGGTTGTTGCTTCAGACCCCGCAGCTCTCTAGGGACAGCCCTCAGAATAGTAGTCCTATGCCACATTATCCCTATGCATTTGTACCCTATTGATACTTTCCACTCTTTGTCCTATCTTGCCTATTCTCCCCTCCCTACCCACGCTGAACTCAGCATAGCTGGGACTACTGCTATGCTGTACACTTGCTATGT